ATTCAGACACAAAACAACGACAGACAGAAAAAAGAGAAAAAAAAAAACTGGCTAACAAATAAAACTGGACCCACAAAAAAAAGAGAAAAAAGAATGTAGAGGCGCAAGGAGATCGAGAATAATAAAAGATTAACGTGAATGGGCGAGCATCATAAAAAAACGACCCTTCTGCGGCTGCGCGGAGCCCGCAGGTGTTCGGTTCCGACAGACGCTTTTCTTCGCGTTCCTGGCGTGCATTCCCGGCGCCTCCTTGCGCGTCTGTGTTCTCACGGCCTTGGCCCAGGAACGATCCGACTCCCCCGGACGCCAGGCTGGACCTCGGGTCTCTGGGGCGAGCAGAGGAGCCGGGGCGCCGGCCGCCGCCTCCACCCGCCCGCGGCTCCCCAGCCTCTGGCTGCAGCCCTGCTGTCTTCCCGGGTCCCCTCCCCTCTCTCCTGCAGTCCCAGGCACCGCGTCCGCTGGCCCGGCTGCTGGCGACGTCGCCCCTGTCCGCACCCACGCCTCGGTGGTGGTGGTGGGGGGTGCCTGCCCCCCGAGGTGTGCGTGACTGATTGGAAACCACCGGTTTGCCACTGAGGAAGCTGTCCCGGAGGTCCGCGCGTGTGCGGGCATCCCGGGCCTCCTGCCTGTCCCGGCAGCCCCCACGCCCTTAGGTCCCCCGTCCTGGAATGGAGTCCAGCCGTTCCCAGAGCCCCGGTGGCTGCCTTGTGCCCACAGCCGGCTCTGCCTGTCTGTTCCCACCCCACCTACAGGAGCCCTAGGTGGCTGCCCCTAGCCTGCCTTGGTCTCCTTGGAGCCCCCCACCCCATGGTCTCAGGGATAGAGGCCTCTCCTTGCGTGGCCTGGGTGCTGGTGGGGTTGCCACGGCTGGCCCGGGCCTGCCACCGGTTCCACCTGCCTCTCAACAGCACAGCGGCCCTCTCGTCTGGCCAGGGCTGCCACCTCTGGCACCAGCGGCGGCAAACGTGCCCGGGGCAACCTGTCGCATAGCAGAGGCGGCTGGGAGCCTCGCCCACCTCGAGCCGTCCTGCTGGGTGCTGGCTCTTGTAAAGAGGGATCCCTGCCACTGCCTCACCCCCCCTCACCCCCTGGCTCCTTGCCCTTGCCAAGGTCACCGATGCCGGCCATGCCTCTGCGCGGAGGGACATCTGTGAGGGTGTCCAAGGGGGCCTCTGCTCCCCCAGCAGCCACCCTGCTCTCCTACTCACTCCCTCGTCCACCAGAGGTCATGGGAGGAGCAAGGGCAGGCCCAGGCCCTGGTGCCGGCCTCCACAGCGGGTCCCTGGCTCTGCCCTTCCCCGGGGTGACCCTGGCCTCATCATGGCTTTGTCCCTGTCTACCTGCACCTTTCCAGTCTGGACTGCCCTGGTGAGGGAATACCCAGTGCCGCCCACACAACTGCCGGCAGGTGGGGTACAGGGCCAGGGCAGCCCAGACCAGGGAGAAGGTGCTGGCTCCGGTCAGGGTAGCCGCCTGGGGTGGGGGAGGGGAGGGCAGGCCACTGCCCAGGGTGGGCAGAGCGCTGCCCCAGGGAGCCACTTCCCTCCCAGGATCCGTCCTCGCTTTCTGCCCAAGTTCTGGTGTCTGAGGGGGCGGGCAGGCTGCCGGCTGCACTCCCACCCCGCCCACTGCAGCTACCTTCACATCTGGCCTGGCCTTGTCCCAGTCTCCAGCCCGCTCGGCCTGCCCCAAGCCCCCTCCGCCACCCCAGTCAGCCCAGCCCTCTCCCCACAGCCACACGACCCTCCCTGTCACCCGTGTCCCCGTCAGCACCAACTCTCCTCCGCCCTCCTCCCTGGGGATTCGCCCCTCCTCCAGAAGCCCTCCTGGGAGTCCCTGGGCCTCTGTTCCTATTCCATGGCGGGTATCATCACCTCCAACCTCAGCTCTCATTTGGGCACAAGGAACCGGGTCTAGGCAGGCCAAGGGCCCCTCCCGGGGTCAGCCAGCTGGCGAGTGGTGGAACTGAAACTGCAGCCGCAGGGCCTGTGCCGGCCTGGGCGTGGGGCTCGGCGAGCATCCGGTGACCAGCGACAGAACAGGAAGGGCCCGGGTCACCTTCCCCTGACTGCCCCTCTCTGGGCAGCGCCCCTGGGCAGCGTGGAATCTGGGCTGGGAATAGCATGGGACTCTGCTGTCTCCCTCGCCGCTACTTCCCCCTGCGTGAAATCATGGTCACAAGCCCCTGGCCCGTCACCGCCTCGGCAGGCGGGGATTTCCAGTCGCGGGGAAGGAGCGGCTTGGGATCACTCAGAGGCCCTGGATCAGGTGAGTGAGGGAGAGATGGGGTCAGCGCCACTTTTCAGAGATCCAGGCGAGGGCAGAGACCAGGGAAGAAGGCCCCCGAGGCCCCAGTGGGTGGAGGGCAAACCTGTCCCCAGCAGGGAGCGGCATGGTGAACACCGGGAAGCAGGCAGACCGGGCCTCGGGCAGGTGCCGCCGTCACCCGTCTTCACCACAGACAGCCTGGGGGCTGCACAGTTTGGGGGAGGGTGGGGCTGACGGAGCTCTGACCACTTAGCTGTTACGTCATGTGTCTGTTTGACAGGCAGAGCCCGGAGCGTCCACAGCGGGGGCTGGGCCAGGCTGGAGCCGGGACCCAGGAACACAGTGCGAGGTCCTCATGCGGGTACCGCAGCCATCACCTGTGACGGCTTCGGAACACCCTGCCAAGTCCCACCTCAAAGAGAGGTTTATGTTTATTTTCTAAAAAAAGGTTTATTTTCATCTCCTCGAAAGGCAGATAAAAAGACAAGGGGAGGAGGGTGGAGAGAGAGAGAGAGAGAGAGAGAGAGAGAATGTTCCATCTCTTGGTTTACTCCCCAGATGCCTTCAAGAGACTGGGCCTCCCACAAGCACTTGAATCATTACCCTTGATTTTTGTTTTTTTAAGTTTTTTTTTTTTTTTTTTGACAGGCAGAGTGGACAGTGTGAGAGAGAGACAGAGAGAAAGGTCTCCCTTTGCTGTTGGTTCACCCTCCAATGACTGCTGCGGCCGGCGCACCGCGCTGATCCGATGGCAGGAGCCAGGTGCTTCTCCTGGTCTCCCATGGGGTGCAGGGCCCAAGCACCTGGGCCATCCTCCACTGCACTCCCTGGCCACAGCAGAGAGCTGGCCTGGAAGAGGGGCATCCGGGACAGAATCCGGAGCCCCGACCGGGACTAGAACCCGGTGTGCCGGCGCCACTAGGCGGAGGATTAGCCTAGTGAGCCGCGGCGCCGGCCTTACCCTTGATTTTTAAAAACTGAAACTGTTAGAGCTTATAAAATGGTAAAAGGATTTTTTTTTTTTTTGACAGGCAGAGTGGATAGTGAGAGAGAGAGAGAGAGAGAGAGAGAGACAGAGAGAAAGGTCTTCCTTTTGCCGTTGGTTCACCCTCCAATGGCCGCCGCGGCCGGCGCGCTGCGGCCGGCGCACCGCGCTGATCCGATGGCAGGAGCCAAGAGCCAGGTGCTTCTCCTGGTCTCCCATGGGGTGCAGGGCCCAAGCACCTGGGCCATCCTCCACTGCACTCCCTGGCCACAGCAGAGAGCTGGCCTGGAAGAGGGGCAACTGGGACAGAATCCGGCGCCCCAACCGGGACTAGAACCCGGTGTGCCGGCGCCGCTAGGCGGAGGATTAGCCTAGTGAGCCGCGGCGCCGGCCTAAAAGGATTTTTTTAATAGAAAATATTCTACAGCTAAATAAAATGTGGTGCCAGTAGGACCTGAAGCCCCCCCCCCCCGCATCACTTGCTGCGAGGGCGCTCCTTGGGCTCAGCCAGGGGTGTCGGGAGGCCGGGGCTTCCTGGAGCTGTCCCAGCTGGACGCCAGGCGCCACGAGGGGCGAGAGGTCAGAGGCGGACAGCTAGGACAGTCCAGAGGCTCAGCGGTGCCCCTTTCTTGGCTCCAGGACCCAAGCAGCCGGCAGGGAGGCGGGGCAGCGTGTGGCCAGCAGGGGGCAGTGTGGAGGCGCACTGCAGCAGGTCTACGGCAAACCCGGGGCTGAGCTGGTGCACACAGCAGGTTCTCATCAAGGGGAACAGGGGGAGGGGGCCCACGCCTGCTCCAGGGGCCACATCCCTTCAGCCCCCAGCAGCCAGGGTCCCCGACGTCCGCTGGGCCGGCCGGGCAGCCTGTCGGACACGAGCGTGAACCTAGAAGTGCGGTGCTGCACGGACAGGTGCCCCAGGGAAGGCCGTGCCGCCTCAGAGGGGCCCCGGGGGAGCTGGTCTCCGAGAAGGGACAGGGTCTCGACCAAGACAGAGAGGCCACTTGGTCTGCACCTGGGGAAATGCCAGGCCAGGCCAGCCACGGCGACACGACGCAGACGGACGCGGTGGGGATACAGCGTCCACCCAAGACCCCACTGGGAGACTCTCGGACACTGGTGGTCTGGGGACTCGGGTGGAGAAGCGGACCTCCCGCTGGGCACCTTCCTGGCCTGCAAGAGTGTTCTAGAAAGGTGTGTGTTCCCGTGAGAATGTGCAGCACACGCTCAGTGGGCACAGCTTCCTTCTGCGGTGGGAAACGTGGTGGAACCAGAGGTGGTGGCCGCAGCGACCCCATGGGAACGGCGAGCCGACCGGGCAGGGACCAGGGCAAAGCCGGGAGCCAGGAGCCCACTCCAGGAGCCCACCTGCCTGACCGTCAGCTGACGCGTCCCAAGGTCTGCAGGCGCCCAGGCTCCCACTGCTTAGACAGCAGGACGACAACGCAGCTTCCAGACAGCTCCAGGGCCGGACGAGCACGGGGACACCTGGTCAGACCAGGCCCAGGGTGAAGCCGCTCTGCCCCCCACCAGCGCAGGGCCTGCCCACTTGCTCAGCCCTGGCCTGTGCCGTCGTGGGCGTCTTGGTGTCAGTCACGGGTGGTCCAGGCGCGTGCACTAAGGGCACACGTCCCCGTCAGAGCCCCAGCTGGGCACAGGTACCAGGTGTGCGGGCAGCGCCCCCTGCAGGCTTCTGTTCACCCTGTGGTGCCAGGTGTGGTGGGGCGGCGGCTGGGGGGGGCTGGGCAGCGAGCTGAGTGCAAAGGCCCTGCTGGCCAGAGGGACCCCCGGAGAGCAGAGCCCGTGGGGCTGTGCCCGCAGCACTGGGGCCGCACCGCTGCCCTCCTGAACTGCCCAGGCAGCCTGCGGGAGGCGGCGGGCTGTGCCAGCTGGGCCGGTCCTGGGAGGAGGAGCCTAGGACAGGGAGCAGAGCTCTGCAGCGGCTCTGGGTTTCCCTTCCCTCGTACGGACACACCATTAAAACGCAAGCTATCAGGGAAGTCTCCCAAAGGAAACACTCTCGGAGCGCCGAGGGGCCGCTGGGACTCCCGGCAGAGGCGTCTCTGCCTCCCTTGCTCACCAGGGGCGGAACTGGGAAGGAAAGGAAACAAGACCGGCAGGTCAGTGGCCAGGCACCTCCTCCCCCAGGCAGGGGGCCCTGGCACCTGCCGCGTCTCGCCCGCCCGCCCGCCGAGCGTGTTCCGAGCCAGTGTTTCGCGGTGAGACGGCGGCGTGCTTTGTGCTTTATTTAGGACTCACGCTGACACGGGGCAACAGGTCACCGCGTCCCTTCTGTGCACTTCCCACAGCTGCTCACAATGCGCCAGCGCATTTTCAACGCATTCATTCAGCACAGACCACGGCTCACAGCAGCCACGGGGGCTGCACGCACACGGCTTTCTCCTGGAATCTGTAACATTTTTTTCTTCATTTTATTTGAAAGGCAGAGAGAGAGAGAGAGAGAGAGAGAGAGAGTTCCCTCTGTTGGTTCAGTTCCCAAACACCTGCAACAGCTGAGCTGGGACGCGCCAGGCTGCAGCCGGGAGCCTCGAACTCCATCCGGGTCTCCTGTGCGGGTAGCAGGGACCCAAGGTCCTGAGCCACACTGTGGCCTTGCACCAGGAAGTGGAGTCAGAGCCAAGCCGGGCCCAGGACCCGGGCACGCAGACACGGGACGTGGCGTCCCAGGCAGCGCGCTTCAGCAGGACACGGAGAGGGGGAGGCGGGGACGGCCGGCACGGACGGCGCAGCTTCCACACGCTGAGGCCAGCCCTGTGGCCCTGCGCCGGGCATGGGCCTGCGGGCCGGACAGCATGCTGGCTGAAGCTGTCCACACGGCCAGCGTGCGCCGGCTTTGCCCCACCGGTCCTGCTGTGGTGCTGAGAAGCCAGCGTGCGCACGAGGGAGCCACCGCGTCCTTAGCAGGATTTGACACCGACACGAGGAAGACCACAGAAACCTCCGGGCTGGATGATTTCACAAACCCCGGGGCTGGCGCCACCGCCGCCCAGGACGGCCACACCCTGCGCGGGAGTGCTGGTTCCAGCCCGGCCCTCCGCCTGCAACCCGCTGCCTGTAACGTGCCTGGGAGTTCCTGCCGCCCAGGTGGGAGAGTCCTGCCTCCTGGCTTTGGCCCGGGCTGGCCCTGGCTGGGGTAGCCATTTGGGGAGTAAGCCAGTGGGTGGAAGATTTCTGTCATTCTGCCTTTCAGATAAGTAAATCAATCTTTTAGGACATTTAAAAACCCCGTTTCGGGGAAGCTTGCCGGCACAGTAAGTCCTAGAAGCCCGGGATAACAGCCCACACCTCTCTGTCTGAGATTTATTTTGATTTATTGGAAAGGCAGTCACAGAGAGAGGGAGAGACAGAGAAGGACCTTCCATCCGCTGGTTCACTCCCCAGGTGGCCAGTGACCAAGACGGGGCCAGGCCAAAGCCGGGAACCTGGAACTCCATCCAGGCCTCCCGTGTGCGTGCCGGGGCCCAGCACTTGGGCCCCCTTCTGCTGCCTTCCCAGGTGCATCAGCAGGGGCTAGACTGGAAGCGGAGCAGCCCGGATGGCAGCAGGCGGCGGCTCAGCCTGCTGTCAGACAGCACCGCCCCCAGCTCCGCCCCTGGTTCCCGCTCCTGCTGGGAGGCGCGTGGGAGCCGTGGACTGAGACCCCGGCTGCGGCCTGCTACTCTGGGCTCGGGCAGTGAACCAGCAGGTGGAATCTGCTTTTGTCATTCAAATTAAAAAGCAGAAACGGGTTTTTTTTGTTGTTTTTAAACTCACATTTTGCTGTGGGATATTGGCAGGAAGCTACTTGTGCGGCCTGCTTGGTCCCCCTGCTTCATGTGCCAACTTCTCCGTGCAAACAGGACATGCAAGCCGTGGAAGAGAAACACCGAGAACCCAAACGAGGGACTGGCACGACGGTGCCGCAGGCGGTGACGCTGGCGTCGGTGTGAAAGCACAGCTCCGGCTCCAGTGCCGGCCGCTCCACTTCTGACCCGGCTTCCCAGCAACGCACGGCCCGGCGCCCGCGTGAGGCGCACAGAGGCCCAGGCCCAGCTGCCGCTGGCCTCAGGCGGGCGAACCAGCAGACAGAAGCTAATTCTTTACAGTTCCAAATGCCTTTTTTCTTATTATTTTTAAAAAGATTTATTTTTTAAAGTGAACCAATGTATTTTTTAAAATTTATTTATTTGAAAGGCAGAGTTACAGAGAGGCAGAGACAGAGCCAGAGACGTCTTCCATCTGCTGGTTCACTCCCCAGATGGCCACCACGGCCGGAGCTACGCCGATCCGAAGCCAGGAGCCAGGAGCCTCCTCCGGGTCTCCCACGTGGGTGCAGGAGCCCAAGGACTTGGACCATCCTCCACTGCTTTTCCAGGCCACAGCAGAGAGCTGGATCGGGAGTAGGGTAGCTGGGACTTGAACCGGTGCCCACATGGGATGCTGGCACTGCAGGCAGCAGCTTTACCCACTGTGCCACAGTGCCGGCCCCAAGACTTATTTTTTATTTAGTTGAAAGGCAGAGTTAGAGACAGAGAGAAAGAGAGAGCGAGAGAGGGCTTTCATCCACTGGTTCACTCCCCAGATGGCCACACTGCCAGGCTGGGCCAGGCTGTCCCAGGAGCCAGGAGCTTCTTCCTGGTCTCCCATGGGGGTGCAGGGGCCGGAGCACTCGGGCCATCCTCTGCCGCCTTCCCAGGCCACAGCAGGAAGTGGGCAAGCAGTGCCCATGGGCCCCAGCGGCGCAGGGGGCGTGGCGCCAGGGCCGGCCTGCGCTTCCCTCTTCCCAAGGAGACTACAGAGGCTCCAGGCCGGCGGAGCCGGGCGGGCGCGGAGGCCTCGTCTCCAGGTGCCCGAAGCCGGGCGACATCGAAGCGGGAGTGCCCAGGAACAGCAGAACTGGGGGCAGCTCCGCAACCGGGGCTCTGAGACTCGCACTGAAACGCCCCGAGTTCAAACCTGGTTTCCTGAAGCCCTACAGGCATAGATTCTGCGTTAATGAGTTCACTTAACTTAATTTTTTTTTTTTTTTTTTTGACAGGCAGAGTGGACAGTGAGAGAGAGAGACAGAGAGAGAAAGGTCTTCCTTTGCCGTTGGTTCACCCTCCAATGGCCGCCGCTGCAGCCGGCGCACCGCGCTGATCCGATGGCAGGAGCCAGGATCCAGGTGCTTTTCCTGGTCTCCCATGGGGTGCAGGGCCCAAGCACCTGGGCCATCCTCCACTGCACTCCCTGGCCATAGCAGAGAGCTGGCCTGGAAGAGGGGCAACCGGGACAGAATCCGGCGCCCCAACCGGGACTAGAACCCGGTGTGCCGGCGCCGCAAGGTGGAGGATTAGCCTATTGAGCCACGGCGCCGGCTGAGTTCACTTAACTTAGTAAACTGGCTTAAATTAGGCTTAATTTAAAAAAATAAACATTCAGTCTTTCTAAAATAAACTCAGTAACTCATGCAATTTCTCCTAACTTTGACTAATTTCTTGTTTTTAAAAGATTCATTTATTTGAAAGGCAGAGTGAGGGAGAGAGGGAGACGTCTTCCTTCCACTGACTCACTCCCCACGTGCCAAGGGGCCACACAGAACAGCACTGGTCCAGGCCGGAGCCGGGGGCCAGGGGCCGGACCATGCAGGTCTCCGACGTGGGTGCAGGGGCCCAGGACTCGGGCCGTCAGCGCTGCCTCTGCAGGCGTCAGCAGGGAGCTGGACCAGAAGCGGAGCAGCCGGGACCAGACCACTACAGCGAGTTCTGCCTCGTATCAGATCACGAGGACGACGGTGAGAACACGAATCAAGGCGGGGACGGTGCTGGGCGCAGCGGCCGGGCCGCCCTCACCCAACCTCCGTGCGCACCCTGGGAGGCAGCAGGGGTGGCCGGGGAGCTGGGTCCCTGCCGCCCCCATGGGAAACAGGGGCTGCGTTCCTGGCCCCTGCCGCCAGGGGCCGCTGGGGAGTGGACCCGTGGGTAGATCACCTCTCCACTCTCTCGCTCCGCCTTTCAGACAAAACATGTCTTCTTTAAAAAGGATAACAATTACACATACCTTTTAGGTTGATAGAAAAGAAAAAGATAATAAAGACAGCTAATATTTCACAGGTGCACAAAACTTCACACAGGACGTAGAAATCACCACGAAGTAGCGACTGCTGATCCAGGCTGGACTCCAGGGGGCCTGGCTGAGGCCGGGGCAGCGGCGCCCAGCTCCGGGTCTCAGCGGGCCGGCAGGCAGCACCCGTCGGCTTCCGTAGGCCAGGCTGGACTCCAGGGGGCCTGGGTGAGGCCAGGGCAGCAGCGCCCAGCTCTGGGTCTCAGCGGGCCGGCAGGCAGCACCCGTCGGCTTCCGTAGGCCAGGCTGGACTCCAGGGGGCCTGGGTGAGGCCAGGGCAGCAGCGTCCAGCTCCGGGTCTCAGCGGGCCAGCAGGCAGCACCCGTCGACTTCCGTACCCTGCGTTCTTCAGACTTCAGTGTTCCAGTGGTGACGCGGCCGTGGGCTGGCAGGGGGCACCGCCTGGTCCAGACTCAGACGTCCACAGTCAATGCACACCACACCACAGGGGGCGGCCCAGGTGAGGGCTGTGGCTGTGGGGGCTCAGAGGAAGGGGCGGCAGGCAGGACCCTCTCTCCCGAGGCCCCACGCAGAGGTGCGGTGACGGGGAGGGCGGGCACACGTGGCGTGGGTGGAGCCCAGCCCCCCGCCATGGCACCCAGACCCTCAGGACCAGCTGAGGGAAGCTGGGGGGTTCTCAGGCAGGGTGCTCCCCGCAGTGTGGGCAGCCTGCCCTGGTGAGACCTTTAGACTCAGGCGGACGCAGCCAGGGGGCAGGGCCTGGGGCGGATGGAGGCGGGGGCAGGGCCACACTGCAGGGTCCGAGCGTGACCCTGGGCCCGGGGCCCTGCAGCGACAAGGAGACCTGGCCCCCACAGAAACCACAGGGCCCTGCAGCTCAGCACGGGGCTGCAGCTCGCGGGGTGAGGGCGGAGGGTGCAGGCTTCTCTGGGCAGGGGCAGGACACGGAGCCCGGGCCACTCCGCGGGACACCTCTGCGGCTGTGGGTGCACAGCAGGGTCACGGGGCTTCTGGTTCTGCAGAAACACAAGGACGCGTGATGACCCCCCAGCCCCTCCCCCAGGCTCTGGCCCTCCCCGGGTGGAAGGGCGCAGATGAGCACAAACACCCCCCCCCACTGCAGCCAGAAACCCAGCCCCCAGGACCCTTGGGTTGGCCGGGTGGGCTTCCCACTGAGGAGGGGGCAGCGGGATGTGGCCAGGAGCCTGCGTTCCCTCAGGACTTGGGGAGGGAGCAACTCCACGTGGCACCACAAGGGGGCAGCACAGGCCCGCGCTTGGCCTTGCCCAGGGCCTGGCACACAGGATGCCTTCATGCAGGAGAGCCAGGCCCCACCGGGGAGGAAGGTGCTCTGCAGGGCTGCGGAGCCTGGGCCAGTCCAAGCCAGACCAGGAGAGGCAGTGGTGCCCGCCCCAGCGCACCCCTGCCGCCACGCCCAGTCACCTGCAGAACAGGCCCCTCACTGGATGTCGGGGTCCTGGAAGCCCCAGGCTTCCACAGCAGCGACCAGGAAGTTCTCGGAGCAGAGGGGCTGGTTGTTGAAAGTGTCACAGTGGCCCGTGCGGCCCCGGTTCAGGTCCCCGTCGATGTAGAGGGCCTGGCCGCCCCCGCCCCCTGCGGGACGCTCCGGTCAGCAGCCGCCCCTCCGCCCCTCGCTGGGGGTGGCTCAGCGGCCCCTCCCCGCGCCCAGTGCACTCAGCCCCTCTCACGCCCTCCAAGCCCCCAGACCTGCTCCACCCCTCTGCCGCCCACACGCCCCGCCTCCCTCCAGCCCGGCAGGGCAGCAGGTGCCCACCGACGATGAGGCAGTCGTTGCCTCCGGCCATGAACATGGACTCGGTCTTGGAGGGCAGGTTGAAGTGCCGGGTGGCCAGGAAGGGCGAGAGCCGGTCCGCGGGGTCCGAGGGGGCACCGTGGGCGAGTTGGGAGGGGGCGGGGCCGGCCTCCGGGGGCGTGAGGGGCGCCGGCTTGGTCAGCTCCGGGTGCTTGATGACCACCCACTCGTAGCGCTGCACCTCGGGCTGCAGCTGAGGGGAGCAGTGTGAGCCCCTGGGCCCCTGCTGCCCCCCGAAACACGGCCCACTCACCCACAAGTCACGCAGGGCAGCGGGGAGCGAGGAGGCTGGGGGCCCCGGGGGTCCCAGGGAAGGGCAGAGGTCTCCCTGCAGGGCAGCGGGGAGCGAGGAGGCTGGGGGCCCCGGGGAAGGGCGGAGGTCTCCCTGCAGGGCAGCGGGGAGTGAGGAGGCTGGGGGTCCCGGGGAAGGGCGGAGGTCTCCCTGCAGGGCAGCGGGGAGCGGGACACGGGGCCCACACCCCGCCCACCTACCCGGAACACGAAGCACTCTCCAGTCCCAAAGAAGCACAGCTTGCCTCCGGACTTATTTCTCTCGCTCCAGTCTGTGGACAGGTACGCTCCGCACACCTGCAGAAGCAGCCGGGCTGCCGTGTGAGCTCGGGGCGGTGGCGGCCGGGGCGGGCTTGGGCGGGCATGTCTCGGCCAGGAAGGAGCTCCCCGTGCCGCCCGTGCCCACCCCCTGGCCCGGCCCCAGCCCGGGGGGCCTCAGGCCGGCCCTGCTCACCTCCTTCTGTGTGGTCTTGATGAGCAGCAGGGTGGCTCGTGTCCGTCACACTGCAGATAGAACCTGGGGCCGAGAGCACAGCCAGGCTGGCGGCGCCGGCCGGGCCCCGCCCGGGCCCACGATCGCGGCCTCTCTCGGGAAGCCTGCCCCGTGGGAGCTCCTCAGGCCGCTCTCGGC